CATAGAGACAGAAAGTGAGAAATCACCCCCCCCCAGAGGGGATGGGCACGCTACAATCCCTTCTCCTCCATTCTCCTCTCAGGATCTTGGGCACGCACACACACGCGCCCGGCGTGAGTTTTAAGCCACTGGGTCCAGGACGCAAACCATGGTCAACTACATGGGAGTCCAGCAACATAGCCATTACGCTAACTACTGATTCCCAAGAAATCTCAGTATTTTGAGAACCACTGTTTTACCCACAGAATTCAAGGCTCTATTGAATTAATATACATAATTGAAAGTGTTTTTAAATATTATGATCTTCACTCAGTTAAAATGCTATTTTTTAAAGGTCTTGTATTCCACTAGTTAATATTCTGTTAAGGAGTTCCCCCCCAAAAAAAAATAAAACTCTTTTTTGGAGAGGTTTTTCCTATAGGGCACGTGCGTTCACCAGAAAGAGAGAGACAGAGAGACAGAAAGCAAGACATCACCCCCCAGAGGGGATGGCCACACCGCAAGCCCTCCTCCTCCATTTTCCTCCTGGGATTCCGCACATGCACGCACGTGCACCGGGTGTGAATTTTAAGCGGCCGGGTCTTGGACTCGAACTCTGGTCAGCCAGGTGGAAGTCAGGCAATGTAACTGCTGTACCACCTTCTGGACCCTTGTGACTTATTTAATCCGAGGGGAAGCCTGGTAAACTTTCCAGACAGTCAACAAGGCATCCCCACCACCCTACAAAGCCTACAGCCCTGCTGATCCATGGCTCCCAGCAGAATCCAGCTTTTTTTCTTAAATCCATACAAACTATCCTGAATGGAAAACAGAGCAAAACTGTCTGTCTCTGTCTGTCTGCCTGGCGAGTACATGTGCCCTATTGCAAAAACCTCTCCAAAAAAAAGAAAAGAAAAGAAAAAAGAGTTGCAGATAGCTTCATGAAACAGGATTAAGATCTCCTGAAAGAGGAGCTGGATCGTAAGATAATGCTCCGTGAGGCTTGACCTTAACCGGGAAGGTCTTGGGTTGCCTCCCAATGCCTACGTCCCTATGTAGGGCAGGTATATACACATGTGTCCACAATCCAGGCTGGGTGGGACTAGAGGTAGATTGTGGTGTGAAGACCCCATTGAGGGTATCTCTCTCTCTCTCTCTCTCGGAAGAAATAAAAGAAAGATTATTAAAAAATTCCTGACAGAGGGGCCAGATGGTGGCATAACAGTAAACAACTTGACCCATATGGAAAAGTCCTGGGTTTGCAGCCCACAGCCTCCCTGAATACACTAGGTGCAGGGACTTGGGGTGAATAAAGTGTGGGGACTCTGTTGGGGGTGCCCCCATTCCCTCTTTGTTTCTTACTCAGAAGAAATGTTTGTAAATTCTTGATTGAAAATTTAATTTTTAGTCTTCTTTTTTTTCTTCAAGAGAAAGGTTTTTGCTATAGGGTACGTGCTCTTGCCAGAGATTCAGAGAGAAACAAAGAGACACAAGCAAGAAATCATCCCCCAGAGGGAATGGCCACACGTCAATCCCTTCTCCTCCACTCTTCTCCTAGGATCTTGGGCATGCATGCACATGCGCACAGTGTGAGTTTCAAGCCACCAGGTTCAGGATTCGAACTGTGGTTGTCCTCATGGGAGTCCAGAGACATAACAGTGACATGATCTGCTAGCCCCAAGTTTCTTTTTTCTTTTACTTTTGTTTTTTTGGGTTTCTTTACATTTTTATTTATGATTATTATTGATTTTTTTTTACATTTAATCATTGTGTATCATTAAGGCATATGAAATGAGTTTTCCCAGTAGGAATACCCTTTGTATTAGTCTATTCAAGTTTTAGTCTTAAAATCAATCCTCAGTGAATAACGGAATAATCTTGAGAGAAACAAACAAAAAAGTTGCAGACCTTAGTTTTCTAGGTCTGAAAAAAAGGGGTTGATAGCTTCCTGCGTACCTACTAGGAAAGGTTGCTATTAAATAAGAGAGTGTCCGTGAAGTACTTTTTAACTCTTTCAAGGGAAACTTCTGCATCTATTCAGTGACAAGGTAATTATTACAAGCTCATAGTGGTAGGCTGTTTTTTCTGAATAATTTTCCAGTTTGAAACACTATATGGATACTTGGTTTGTATTTTTTTTTTCATACCTGTAATGAACTTTTTCTTTCAAAGGTGAAGGACGTGGATTGTGGAAAATAATATGTACCTCATGGAGCATGGCAGGTTCTGTGCCTGTTAGGGTTCGATTGTGAGTCATCTCTTGAACGTCTGCAACTCAATAAAGATGATCTGCCTTAGGAGGAGGAAAAAAAAATCTGAAGCCACAAACTCTATCCAATCACCTAAAGACGAATCAGCCTTCAGACAAACCAAATGCCTTCATCTAAAGCGTACCTAGATTTGGCACTCTGCCCACCTTCCCCGAACCTCTTAACAACATACCTCGACAAACAGTTAAAAAAAACGTGCATGCTGAAAAATAGTCCTTTGGCAATGTGATTTTTAAAAACAAGAACTCTTAAACCTACAGAAAATAATCACTTGGAAAAAAAGAAGGTTTATTTCCGAGTTGGCAACAAGTAAATACAGGATTAGTGGGTGGGACTAAGGAGCGCTGTGGCGCATAAATAGAGACTCAAGCTGCGCTGCACGGTCTCGAGGCTTGGACTGCATCCTGGCCGCCGGCTCACACAAGACAGGTGGGGGAGGAAATCCAGGTAAGGCTCCTGAAAAGAACTTCAGAAAAGTGAGCTCGCTGGAGTGAGCTTTGGCCTCAGATTGCTGTGTCAAGTTGCAGGCAATGAACAGACAGAGAAGTGCAAGTTTCCAAGGGCAACTAAGTGGGATTTGGAGAGGGGATAGCAGACTTCCCACCAAAGATTCATGCAGCCTTTCTTTGGCTAGAGGTAGGAGGGTTATGTTCCTGAGCTGGTTCAAAGTCATGTTCCCTCCCTTAGGAAACAGGAGATTTCAGAGTGGGGGGACTCTAGGAGTTTTCAAAGTTGGCACAAAGCCCAGGAGCTTCCATCTCAGTCACAATCAAACGCTCTGCTTCTTTCCCACTGGCTCAAGTGAAGGTGTGCGGGTTCCTCAAAGAGAAGCCTTGGTTCAGGCAGCTCTCTGAGACACTATTTCAGATCAAGAAACAGATCTCTCTGGCCCTCTTGCTCCCTCTCTCTCTGGTATCAAAGAATATTTTGTTGGAACCAGCAGTTGGCGTAAGGACTACCTCACTGGACTCCCATGTAGTTGACTGTGGTTCGAGTCCCAGACTCAGTGGCTTAAACTCATGCCGGGCGCACATGCATGCGTGCCCAAGATCCCAGGAGGAGAATGGAGCAGAAGGGATTGCGGCGTGGCCATACCCCCTGGGGGATGATTTCTTGCTTTCTGTCTCTGTCTCTCTGTCCCTTGTGGGAACGGGCACCCACCCAAAAAAAAAAAAAAAAAAAAAAAAAAAAATTCTCAAAAAAAATTGTGCTGCTTTTTAATCATTAAGTTCGCAGGATAGGTTGTCAGAGGTTGCTTTTATGATGCATTTGTGAAAAGGAACACTGAAACCTCCTGTGAATTTATTTTTGTTAAAGATAGGAAGTAAAGTATGGACATAGTCTTCAGTAACACATGCTGGTTTCACAGAGTGAGAGTCCAAATCTTCACGTTCTTCCATAGTTGGCATTGTGTTTTGAGGTGGTTTAGCAGGAAGTTTGCAGAGCCCAGCCTGTTTGTATTATAAAAACTCAGGAGAATGAATCTCAAATGCCACCCCAGAGCAGGATGTTTGTACAGCAGGAGTTATATTAGCCTTCTTTGTGTTATCCTGCCATAAACACACGGAATACATCGATAGCTCCAGCCGCAATCAGGGGAGCTATTGAAGGGGTCCTGATAGCCACTTAGGCAATGAGAATTGTCAGTAGACCAGATGAAGTGCTTCGTCACCAATTCACTATTACTTTTTCAAATGTACACAGTTGCTGTCATAAATAAGATACAATATCAAACGTTTATTGATACATTCTCAGTAGTGAGTTCTCATGATATTTTTTGGACCAATGAATATTATTCTAAAAGTCTCATTACTCTCTCTGAAAGTTCTTGGGGGTCTTTTTAAAATTAAAAAGGAGTTTTCACAGTAAAGGACAAAAGGCTCAGTTCTTAGTACAGATGGATGCTTTAACCTAAGCTAAAGACTCAGATTGGCTTCCCTGGTGACTATTGCTCCTTTGGAAAGATTCATTTGCTGAAGTACTACCATTTAGCTTTTGTTACCCTATGCCTGTCTGACTATACATGGTACTGAAAAGAACAAAGTTTTCAGTTACTTTTTAAAGTGTCTTCATACTAAGAGGGCTGGATATTGCAGACTTGTAGTACATTTGAGTTATTTTTGCAGTACTTTAGAACATAAAAATCATAAATAAATAAATAAATAAATAAATAAATAAATAAAAATCTGAAATGTTTTTTTAAAAAATTTAAAAATAACATAAAAATGAAGAAAGAACTAGGGAACTTCAAAATGTTTGTAGAAAAATGGAATTAAAGACTGAGGGAACTTGGATGCAAAAAAATCGAAATTAAAATCTATGCATAATTTGTTCATAATATACATTTTCCATGATTTTTTGAGGACCCCTTATATATATCCCTGCCTTTTGTTATGTCTTTCTGAAAAAAAGGCATTTTGTGACTACATTACTGTAACTTGGATGATAATTAGTCAGTTGAATACAAGGCATCATTTGTATTTAGTAACTTAGTAATACTTTTTAAGCTGCTAATGCTTAGCAAAGGTCCTCACTTAAGCCATCAGATCACGAGAAACTTTCCTCTTAAAAACACTAAGCAATGACAGTCCTACTTTCTTGGCAGAGTTCATTTGACTGAATTTGAAATCCATGCCTATCCTAGAATTAGATACTATCACTTTTATATTTCTCTAAAAAAGCAATTTCAATGTTTGGCTTTGCCAGAATCCCATCTCCAGCTTTCCATGTGATGGCGTGTGGATAACCCTAGTGATTTGTGTGTGTGTATGCTTTTAATGATTTAACTTTATTTATTTATTCTAATTTGACTAGAGAAGGACAGAATGAGAGAGAAAGAAACAAACCACCAGGTCCAGGACTCAAACTGAGGTCAGCCATATAGGAGTCCAGGGCCCTGAACTACCATACCACCTGCTGGCCCCAACCCTAGTGTTTTGTTAATGCAACTCCCTTAGCTAGCTCACTCTCCCTCCACACTCATTGAGTCTCTCCTGTCATTCGTTATCTTGTTCATAGGCATTTACTTCAGCTTTTCTGGGAGTTAACTGAAGAATACCAGAAAGGAAAAAAAGAATTTAACAAAGGATACCCAAGGCATTTATTCTTCTGTATTATGAATCTCACAAAATATTTTTGTGCACTAAAGTGATGGCCACAACCACTTCCCTATAAAAACCCACACAGTTACCGAATCACTTCACTAGATGGAACCTGACACTGATGTGTCCTGGTAATGCAGAGCTAACACAGACTTCAGTAAATGTTATACTAGAGGGAGCTGTGTGGGAGCAAGTCTTCAGTTAGTGAGAAACCTGGCAGGTTCTAAATGAAATAGGGTGTTTTATTTGTGTCTTGTTCCTCCATGGTGGTGTCCCTATTTCAGTGCAAGGTTAAAGAAATATGTATGTTTCATGTCATTGTTTTAGGGAGGGAAGATGGAAGCCACCTCTGCAGAATGGCAAGATCCAGAGCCTTTGTTCTGGACCCACCTTCTAAATCTTTTCATCTCTCTAAAATAAATGAGGCCTTGGAAAGATGGGGGAAAGGGAAGTAACCCCTAAGGTGACTTCCAGTATTACACTTTTTAAACTTAAAATTTAATTTTTTTAGTTATAAGAGTATATGCATCTATCTAGCTAGCTATTTTCTTAAAATATATCTATATTATCCATTTGTATATAACTATATCCATATAGATAACTCTGTCCTATAGAGGTCTATATCTTCATATCTCTCTCTCCCTTAATCTATACCTGTAGATAGGTAGGCAAGTGGAAAGATAGACAGACAGACAGATATCCACACAATGTATTCTTAGGAAAATCCTATTGAAGGTAGCTTTTTCCTCCAATCTCATGTGTCCAGTCTCAGCAGAGGCTCAATTCCTATGACATCCCACTGTTGGGAAGCAACCTATAGATTTCGAAGACTGCTAACTCCCTTTCATTCTATTGACTTTCATTTGTTTTCTGCACCAGATTAGCCATGGAGAAAATTTCGGTGTCAGCATTCTTGCTCCTGGTGGCTCTTTCCTACACACTGGCGAAGGAGACCACCGTCAAACCTGGAGCTAAAAAGGACACAAAAGACTCTCGACCGAAATTACCCCAGACCCTCTCCCGAGGTAGGAGTCGGCTTCCAGCTGCTGCTTAACTGGGAAAGATGTCCTAAGTCTTAAGTCTGGTGCTAAGACATGTGTGCTTAACATACTTTCCTTCTGTATGTATCATCATTTATAACTATTTCTACTCCCTTTAGAGGGTTTTCTTCTTTAGTAGCAAGTATGTATTTATCTCAGACTTTACCATTGCTTTTAAATAGCAGGAGATCTGAAAGTAGAGTAGCTTTAAATATCCTGGTTCATTTCATTCCAGGTTGGGGTGATCAGCTCATCTGGACTCAGACATACGAAGAAGCTCTATACAAATCTAAGACAAGGTAAAGACTGGAGTTACTCCAAGCTTTCTCAAAGCTCTCAAGAGCACCATCTAGTGATACCTTAGCCATAACGAAAACTTACTCATTCAAAACTATCCAATCTCTCTTTGTCTCTTAAAGCAACAAACCCTTGATGATTATTCATCACTTGGATGAGTGCCCACACAGTCAAGGTAATTTATCTTTCTGTATGATTTCCTCAATCAACTTTTGGCCTTAAGGCTAGGGTTGGGATCATTCATTTTTATATCCTTAGAACATATTACAGTTGAATATTTTATGCAGTGAAAACATGCTTTAAAGCAACTTCAAATATTTCTGTTTGTGATAACTATTGGTGTACATTTTAAAACACAAGCTCTAAAAATTATGCATGGATTTCACCTTTCTGCAGCAAAATACCTATATTTTAACTCTATTTTTCCAAGAACATTTTGAAGTCCTCTTATATTTTAAAAATAAAAGTGAAATGTATACTTTTTTTAGAAAAAAGCTCCAGGGTTCATCCTCAATATCGTTATTTCTTTTATGTCCTACATCCATTACATCAGCAAACTAGGCACAAAAAAGATGAACAACAATGAATATAATAGTACAATTATAACAATATAGTTTAATTAAAATTGTGTAAATGGGACCAGTAGATGGTGTAATTGTTACATCGCTGGACTCCCACATAGTCAACCATGGTTTGAGTCCTGGACCTGGTGGTTTAAAACTCATGCCAGTTGTGTGTGTGTGCATGCCTAAAATCCTGAGAGGAGAATGGAGGAGAAGGGATTGTGGTGTGGTCATCCCGGGGGCAAGAGAGGGGGCAGGAGATGTGATTTCTTGCCTTCTGTCTCTCTGTCTGTCTGGTGAGCACATGTGCCCTATACCAGAAATCTTTCTTAAAAAATAGTTATGTAAATGTACTCTCTTTCTCTCTCTTTAAATATCTCATTGTACCATATAGTACTTATTTATTAATATTTTTGAACTGTGGTTGACTATGATAACTATAAAAAAAATGATGACAAAGGTTGGACTTCAGTAATTCTTGAATGAATGGCTTTACATTTTCATCTTGCACTTGGTCCAATAGATTATATAGCTGGTCTTGCCCAATCTAATCCCTTCCTATTGCCTTAGTGCAATTTCCGTGGTCTAAACCAACATCACCTAAGGTCAGTTCTCCACAGAGAACCCAGACTTGGGCTCTTACACAAATCAGATCCTATTACTCACATACTCAAGTGGTCTCTAATCACAAGTAAAATTTAATTTAAATTCCTGACCTAGGCCTCCAAGGTTGGACACGGTCTGGTCAATGGCCATCTTTCCTTTCCTGTCACTCTCTCTTTGCACTCACCATTCTATCCAGCCTGGCTGCATGCCATTCTTCAAACATCTGAACTCATTCTCATCTCACAAGCTACCACTTTTGCAGTTCCCTCCACCTAGAATGACCTCTTCCCAAATCACTTCAATGAGAGTATTTCAGTGACACCCTTTCAGAAAGATCCATCATCCTTAAACTGTTTCCCTTGCTTCATTTTTCTTCAAAGTACATATTTCCACCTGAAATTATATTTACTTATATACTCGATAATGGCCTTTCTCTCATGCAAGCATTTGAGTTCTATGCAAAATGCTTGTTTTCACAGAATTATCTCCAGTGCATAAAATAGTGCCCACTATATAGAGTCACCAAACAAATATGAGCCACAAATAAACAAAAACAGATGAATTAATGAATGGATGACTGAATGAGTAAACAGAAAAATGCAAAAGGTGGTCAATGGCATAGATATTACTTCACTAATCATTTGCTGAAATGGTATGGTAGAATAGTGTATTTCAAATGCAATTCAACTTAAGGTATAAAAGAGAACAATGGTTTTAACCAATACTGACATAGATGCTTAATGACTTTTCTTTATATTATAGCTTTAAAGAAAGTATTTGCCGAAAATAAAGAAATCCAGAAATTAGCAGAGCAGTTCGTCCTCCTCAATCTAGTTGTAAGTATACTTTTTCATTGTTACTAACATTTCCCCATGGTTCATCATTTTTCCCTACTTCTTAGTCATACTGCATTAACTGGGATCTCTTCCAAATATCCTATCTCATAGATTGGAGAGAAAAAAGATATTTCATTTCATTAATAATCTATCTGGCATGTTTCTTACTTGATAATTAATCATCTTGGGTTGTTTAAAAAATACTCTCCTGAGGTCAGGATTTTCTCTGTTGCTTTAATAATCACTGGGTCATCAGAAAAGTCATAACATATTTTTGCATAGAAAAACACATCGTGATTTTTCCAATGACCCAATAGAAGGTTTCTGATTTTGCAGATTAGTTTTTGTGCCTGTCTTCTTCACACCAACTCTTAATTCTGTTTTCTCCTTCCCTGGAATAGGCAGCTCTCCGGCTGTCCAAATCCAATCATCCCTCTTGTACTTTAGATTATTGCATTCTCTCTTTAACCATCACCACCCCTCCTGATGTGCACCCTTTCTATTCTCTAAATTCTTTCTACTTTCTGCTCAGTATGCAAATGGGTTCCATTTTCCTTCTAAAGCAAGTAAACAAACAAACAAACAAAAAGCAACTCTACTTAACCATATGTTCCCTTGAGTTCCTCTCTTCTCTCTCTCCCTCCTCTTCACAGGTTGCCTTCTTCAAGGAGCAACCCACACCAGTAATTCTTCCTCACCTCTTCCTCTTTCTGCCTCTTCATGTTCACCTGATGAATCTCTACTTGATCCACTGTATTTCTATTTTCTATTTTCTGTGAACACCTTCATCTACTCCTGGCTTTCATCAATTCCTATACATTGATCATGTCTACATCTTAACCAAACATGCAACAACTTCCAGCTCATCCATCCAACCATATTCCAGATGGTCCACATTGAATCACCTTGATTGCTTTCTTATAGCTCTGCTTTCTCCATTCTCTATTTCACTGAGGCAGTACTATTCTATTAGATTGGACTTTGCTAATCACCTATGACAGTCAAAAAAATTCTGCATTTCTAAATTCTAAATATTCCTCTTACAAGTTGAGTATGCCTAACCCTGAAATCTGAAATGCTCCAAAACCCAAAACTTTTTAAACACCAACATGATGCCTATGATTAGAAAATTCCACACCTGACCTCAAGCAATGTGTCATGCCAGAATGCTTCAATATAAAAATATTGTATAAAGTTAGCTTTAGGCTATGTGTATGTGGTGTACATGAAACATAATTGAATTTCATGTCTAAACTTGAGTCCCATCCCCAAAGATACCTTGTTACGGAGGTGCGAGGATTCCGCAGCCTAAAAAATCTGCAGTCTGAAAATTTTGTCGCACACATCGTGGATAAGGGATACTCAGTCTGTATTTGTCATTTCTCTATAAACTCAGGACCACTATTTTAGGATAAGGTTGTTCCCTTTGTCTAACATATGGCAGTATTACTAAATGGCTCCCTGCTTTTGAGATAAATTCATCCAATCCCACATGGTTGTCAGGGGAATCACTCTAAAGGCGGAATTGAGTTCATGGAGCCTCTCTAACATTCCTCCAGTGATGCCTTCCTGTTTCTGATCAAATGGAATCACAGTGGCATGGTGTGAAAGACCAATCACCAGCTGGCCCCTGAAGCAGCTCGGAATCTTCTCTCACCACACCCGCAGGCATGCCCTATAACCAGTTCTTCCCAAGCACTTGATCATCAGAGAAAGCACTATGCCTTTCTGTTCTGTGCCTTTTTACACAGCCTCTTCTCCCTCAATACAGTGGCCTTCTTTTCCATGTAACTTCAGTTTCTTTTTCTTTCTTTTTTTTTTTTTTCTATATGGCGCGTGCGCTCGCCAGAAAGAGACAGACAGAGAGACAGAAAGCAAGAACTCATCTCCCAGGGGGGATGGCCATGCTGCAATCCCTTCTCCTCCATTCTCCTCTCGGGATCTTGGGCGTGCACGCACACGCACCCGGTGTGAGTTTAAGCCACCGGGTCGGGGACGCGAACCACGGTTGACTACGTGGGAGTCCAGCGTCATAGCCATTACACTAACCACACTTCGGTTTATTTTTTAAGATCCCTCCTTACCCACTTCAGAAGTCCTAGTGGTACCTGCATGCTGGGATACACGACCTGCTCTGGGTGCCCATGCACCCGAACAGCCTCCATATAATACGTCATCCACTGGATCCTCCATATTCATTTTCTACCTGGAATTTCACTAGACTGCACATTCATTAAAGATAAGCCAAGGGGGGAACCAGCAGTTAGCGTAATGGCTATGTCGCTGGACTCCCACGTAGTCGACCACGGTTCGTGTCCCAGACCTGGTGGCTTAAAACTCACACCGGGTGTGTGTGCGTGCGTGCCCAAGATCCCGAGAGGAGAATGGAGGAGAAGGGATTGCGGCGTGGCCATCCCACTGGGGGGTGATTTCTCACTTTCTGTCTCTATGTCTCTCTCTGTCTGTCTGGCGAGCACACATGCCCTATAGCAAAAACCTCTCCAAAAAGAAAGAAGAAAAAGAAGAAGATATGCCAAGGGCTGGGCCTGTGGTTTATCTTTAATATTAGTCATTAAGGAAGCCGGATCCCACATGGTAGAGTGCTATTTGAAATCCTGGCCCTGGTGGCTTGAAAAATACACCTGTGTATCCCAAATCTTGACAGAATGAAAAAATGGAGGAGAAAGGATTGTACCATGATTTCACCCCTGGGGGGGGGGAATCTTGCTAAATAAATAAAATTCTAAATAACAAAGATAATTGGATAGATGTATGATCAAGAAAATCTTATTTATTTCTATAATTTCTCCAAAAATGGCTTCTGTTTTTCTCATTTTTCCCTCTTCTCCTATCTCCCCCAATATGTCTTCCCCCAACACTGTAACTCCTTCCAAACCTCCCTTCTCGAACTGTTTTGGTTTTGGGTTTTTTTGCATTATATCTGTTGAGATCTTACCTCTGGTACCACAACACATTCTGCTCTGTCTTATTTCTTATCTCATGCACATAACTTGTCTCCTTCTATGTTATAAGTTTTGTGTGGAAGAGATGTGCCTTATGCTATCTTAAGGTGCCTGGTCCAAGAACAGACACCAGTTTAAAATAACTGAAGAGCAGGTGGCTTGGTGGTTAAGGGTGCTGGACTCCCACATAGCTGACCACAGTGTAAGTCCCAGACCTGGTGGCTTGCTTTCCCACTTTCCCTCTTTCTCTCTCTCACTTTGTCCCTCTCTGGGCAAATTAAAAATAAATAAAGTTAAATTAAAATAATAATAATAAAAAAGCCTGAAGAACAAACTAAAAACTGCTTTTTTTTTCAATCTTAGTATGAAACGACTGACAAACACCTTTCTCCGGATGGCCAGTACGTCCCCAGAGTTTTGTTTGTTGGTAAGTGAAAGTGATCAGGAGGTGAAACATACTCTGAAGGTTCTACCAGTGCTGCTATGTCCCTTCCTCTGTCCTGCTCACCTTCACCTGCCACTTCACCATGGCCAATGTCATTGCTAAACTCTAGCAACGCATATGACATTCCAAGGGATATAACGGTTTTTTGTTTCACATGTTTTTATTAGAAAATGTGAAATTCTATTTTCACAGATGATTTTTTTTCCTCAACTGCTAATTTTAAGTTTTCATCTTCTGCCACCAATACATCTGAGGAGGAAGCACCTGTTTAAATGTATTGATAGTTTTCCTGAATACGTCAGGCCTGTAAATATTTATTTTTTTGGTCAGACTTTCAATTTGTGTGTTGATTTTTCTTCCTGACATTTCTGATCATTATTTTTAGGAAAGTTAGGAATATGGTCTGGGGAAAATAAATTAAAGGAATTATGCCCCCTCCTCCCACTAGTACTTTTCATAGGCTGTTCCCCCTCCTAAAAATCTGGTTCTCCTTCGACCCCCCTGCCCCCCAACATCACATATTTATCTCCATAATCATGACTATCATTCACTAACCAGGTCAAACTCCCACTTGTGCTTTGGTGGGACTGCATTTCTCTCATTACACTTTCTCAGTTATAATTCTGCGTTTATTGGTGATTAATTACTATTTTCTTGCATGGCGCCATAAGCCCCACATAGCAGGGACAGTGTTTCTGCTGGTCATATCAAGGTCTCGGCATGATCTTGAGCTGAGTTCTCATAAGTATGTGTTAAATGACTGAATGAATGTCTTGAATTTGGTGCTGATCAAAGTCACACTGATTCAGGGCCAGCAGCTGGCATGGTGGTTAAAGGCGCTAGATTCCCACATGGCCAACTGCAGTTCAAGTCCTGGACCTGGCGGCTTGCTCTCCTCTCTCTCTCTCTCTCTCTCTCTCTCTCTCACTCACACACACACACACACACACCAAACAGGGAAATAATAATAAATAAAGTTAAATAAAATATTTTTTTTTAAAAGTCACACTGATTTGGGACCAGCAGTTAGCGTAATGGCTATGTTGCTGGGCTCCCACGTAGCTGACTGCGGTTCGCGTCCCGGACCCAGTGGCTTAAAACTCAAGCCGGACGCATGTGCGTGCATGCCCAAGATCCCGAGAGGAGAATGGAGGAGAAGGGATTGTGGCGTGACCATCCCCCCTGGGGGGTGATTTCTCACTTTCTGTCTCTCTGTCTCTCTCTGTCTGTCTGGCAAGCACATGTGCCCTATAGCAAAAACCTCTTAAAAAATAAAATAAAATAAATAAATAAAAAGTCACACTGATTTAAGGAAAATTTGTAATTAAATCCACCACATAGTAGAGCACACGCTAACCAAGCAGTTCACCTGTGTAATTCATCAGATTTACATTAAATACATAAAATTGGAGAGAAAAACAAGTGATAGGAAAAAACTAGAGAAGGCTGAACTGGCGCACACATTTTACACATTCGATTTTGTCAGGAGTTAAAACAGTTGAATCTTAACCCTGCAAGGAACTTGTAAGTCATCCAGCATACCTGTGCAGGAAGTCTTTTAGCTGCATCCCTGTGTAAGAGCATTTTAATTCATGTCTGTTTCCGTCAGTCAGAGTCCACCTCGAGACGGCTTGCTCTTCCAGCCCAGTCATTCTCCATTCTGGATCACATTAGAATCACGTGGCGAAAAAAAAGCCAAGCCGCTCACACCACACCTCAAAGCCATGAAATAAGGATTAGTTGTTAAATCTCTCCAGGTGATTCCAATGTGCAGTCAGGGCTGGGAGTCACTGCCCAGGTATTTCAAAAGCCTTTGTCATGTTAACCTATTACAAAGATTAGATCACACCAAGCAGAAGGTATAGTCAGTCTTACATCTTTGTTGAACAAATAAATGTCTGCTTCTTGTGATTCTTGTCTGTGGGTCCTAGGCCAGCGTTGGAAATGATAGCGATTGTCCACTGCTTTGTCAGTGCAGACTTTGCAAACTCGCAGACTGTTCTCACATGACCGCTTCATCTAGTTTTCCAGATACATGTCTCAGGCTCCTTCAATCACTTCTCAAGGCAAGGTTTCTTGGCCTCTCTGTATCCTACCATTACCCTCTTGGGTGTATTTTATTTTATTTTATTTTATTTTTTATTTAATTATTTTTTTGGAGAGATTTTCACTGTAGGGTGCGTGCGCTCGCCAGACAGACAGAGAGAGACATAGAGACAGAAAGCGAGAAATCACCCCCCAGGGGGGGTGGTCACGCCGCAATCCCTTCTCCTCCATTCTCCTCTCAGGATCTTGGGCACGCACGCACACGCGCCCGGCGTGAGTTTTAAGCCACCGGGTCCGGGACACGAACCGCGGTCGACTACGTGGGAGTCCAGCGACATAGCCATTACGCTAACTGCTGGTTCC